TCAAGGGAGTCCTGGGGCGTGCCTGCACTTTGCTTCCCACTGCCCGCTTATACACTCCACTACTCGGGGACTCACTGCCCACAGCCCACAGGAACCATGTGGCCTGTGTCAGGGGCAGGGGGGAGGTGGTTTTTTTCTTGTGGTGGCACCTGACCTGGCCCAAACGGCCCCTTTGCTGACGTGCTCCAGGGCTTGGAGCTCGAACCTCAAGGGGCAGTCGCCGTCGTCGAGAACAAGTGCCAGGCTGTATTGCGTCTGGTCTGTGTGCCAGGCAAGGGACGCATGAACGGGCAAGTCCAGAATTCCAGCCCTCGTACTCTGCCCCGCCTCTCCTACCTACTCCAACACGCCTAATGAACTGGGCCTCTTTGTCTCTGGCCATTCCGTCTTCTCACGGCAGTGCCCCATGCTCCGTCAGAACCGTCAGGCCCGTCCACGAGACGGGGTCGCAGGGGGGACAGAGTTTGGGCTTGAAGAAGCGACGGCACAATGAAGAGGGTGTTGACGGGCGGGGAGTACCGCAACACACCGCTAACGTGCATGCATGGATGGCCCGAATTGCGCGAGGTTGAGGGCCCATGGCGGCGTCGCAAACGGCTGGAAAAGACTTTGTGCATTAAGGCTGTGGCACGACGGACCGTCCACTGCCTATCCGTCTCCTGTCTTGTTGGCCCTGACCGTCTGAACCACACCGATCTGCCACAACATCTGCAACCGGGAACCTTCGTAGCCAGCCAAGCCGCTGGCCACGCAACCGGGCGGTGATGGCGTGTGATGCAATTGTCCGGATGAGATGGCGCGATGCCTTGTGTCGATGAGGGTGTGAGGTTGGTGTACATGGCAAGGTAAAGGAGGGAGGGGTCCTGGGGCTGCTTTGCTGCTGATGCTCCGTGAGCACAGGGGCCAACGTAGGCATGCCCACTGTATTTCGTCAGCACGTGTGGGTCATCGCAGTCGTCATGCCATCGCCATGCCCCATCGTCGCTCGACTGGTCAAGCCTGGAGCAAGCTCCTGTACAGTGGTGGGCACATGTAGAGAGGTCAGGGTAGCTTGGTCACGCAGGTCCGTCGCATGATCCTGTCGTGATTAAGGCCCAGGCGATCGCCGCCGGTGGACTGCGTTGCTGGTGCGCTGTGGTACTGTAGCCCAGCGACTGAGTAGCATGCTCAACCATCGCCTGGTCACCAGGTACGATGCGGGGTAGCTGTACCACCACTGGGCTTGCCGCAAGTGAACTGTGCTTCCAAGACGGAAGAGCAAGCACAAAACCAACATCCTATCTAAGTCACAGCTTGGATTACCAATTGAGTCCCCGAAGCTGTACAGAAGACCTTGATGGCCCAGTGTGTGTGCGTGTGTCGTAAGGGTTACCGTTACCTTATCCACCGTCTGTCCTCCGTCATTGACAACACTCAACACACTCGCGATGCCTACGGTGTTGTGGACCCACGTTGCTGAGCACCTCATCCAGAGGAATGCTGTGAAGCATGATGGATGGACACGCCCCGGGTGCCGGCCAACGTGCCCGGGTACGATGCAGCGTGTCCAAGGTCTCTCGTACAGTAAGAGGACCCCAGAAGAAAATTCTCAATCACGAGGGCGGCTGTCCGCAATCCGTGATGGGTCCCCTTCCCCACCATGTGCGCGTCCAGAAGCGTCGAGCCCAGCCAGTCCTTTGACCCAGGTGTTCCCCTTCTGGGCTTTTGTCGTCAGAAATTTTCTTACGTCCATCCCTCCCAAGCCGCCCCAAGCTCCCAGCTGAGCCCGAGGTGGGTTGTGAGCACGTCCTCCACACCTTCTCGCCTGCTGGTACCTGATCACCGACAGTAGCAGCGATCACAACATGGGAATTGCAAAACTTTTTCTCTCCTCTGCTCAGGACCGGCCGGAGTGGGGATGCATGATTCATGGAGGGGCGCGCACATGCTCTCAAGTCGAATCATCCTCGCACAAGCTCTTGGGAGTGGAGGGCAATGCGACCATGTAGCTTTTTCCTGCCTTGGAAGGTGAAGCTGTCGTTGCACAGTGTTCGGTGCCTTTTCTCCCTACCCAGGTGCCTTACCTGCCTTATTACTTCTTGTTGTTAGTGGCTGCCTTCCTTCCTGCCTGCCCACTTGTCTTGCCATGTACTTCCTGTTCTGAGTGACTGCCTTACTTTCTGTCTTCCGTGTGTACCGTATGCTGGCACTGGAGAAATGGAAAGGGCCCCAAAAAAAAGCCCCGTCATCCAAAACCTTGATGCCAGTGTCTAACCTGTTTAGGACACTGAAGATCACACCTTGCAGGCGATCCTTCCCCAGATAATGATGTCAAATGGGTACATACTGCCAGTCAGTCAGCGGCTCGTTGCCGGGAACGAACCTCCGGCCTGTTACTGCCAAATCGTGACGGCGTCTTCGGTGAAGGCAGTGGCGGATGTTTTGCCCACAGTGCCTGACAGTTCAATTCTCGGCGTGCGGTAATTCTGAGCTTCATGAAGACCATTGATGTTAACGTTTTTCTGTTGATTCACCACATCCAATTCTGCCTCGTCGATCGTGCGTCCCAACAGCACTGAGCGACCCTTTAGCAGAGCCACTTGCGACAGGCGCCGCACAGGCCCCCCGTTCTCATCACTGTCGGTGCTCTCCTCATACAATGGACCATGACATCGACGGTTCTGATGCAGTGGGCGCAATACCATGATCACGCTGGCAATTCACCTGATCACTTCTGTGACGCCTCTCCGCCCTGACCGCAAATCCACGGCGCGTACTGACCAGGGCAATGTGCAAGCCCTCCTTCCCCGCATTCTGCTGGGAACGACGCCAGCTCGAAGCAGGAAGAACGTGACGTCTTAAATTGACGTCTCCGCGGTCCGCGGGCTGGGCGTTTTCTCAACCGCTCGACAGACGCGATGCACCGGTCTCCATCAAGCTCTCCCCCATCTGCTCGCAGGTCTTGGACTCGGTCACTCTTGAGCTCCTCTTTCACCGAATTCACCGAAAGAAACATCGCCAAACATCGTGAACCGTCAGGCACGGACGACATACCACGTTCAGGCGCAAAGCGTTTACGTGGTCTGGGCCCCATGCACCACTTTCTCTTACCCCCAGGGTCCTCGCCCGCTAAGCACCGGGACAGCCCGCCCATCTGCCCAGCTTGCATCTCTTTCGCCAGATACGGAAATCCTGTTACCCAACTGTTACACGATAAAATCCACCCAACATCCCAAGTGCCGCCCTGTATCGACTTGACACGACCCCCACCACCAGCTCCTAAGACTCTGTTCAAAGCTCTTGATCTGATAACGAACCGTAGAACTGGGACGTTTTCCTCCGTCGCTCAGGGTCAGAGCTTCTGTCCCCCCAGTTTTCTTGAGCTCACATCGTGATGGCATTGCTGATGTTGTCGTCATAACCTTTAGCAAGTGGAGATCGGCAGGTGCCCGGATCGCGATCCTGTCTCCCTCCGGGGCTTCGTGCCCGAACGCCCAATTGTCTACTACAGTGTTTGTAGTATTGACTCCGAACGCCCCCGCCGGACGCATTACCGACTTTGCAACCACCCGGCCATGCTGGTCTTCCGTGATCTATCCGTGGGCAGACCCCGGGTGCGACCGGCAATGGTCTCGACCGCCACCCTGCCATTTTTCTTACGTCAAGCATTATCCGTAGTGGGCCCGGGGTCCACGGCCCAGACTCTTCTTTTCAGGCGACACGCTCAGCACCTACCACCATGTCCACGGCACTGTGTCGCTCGCTCTACACAATTCGCGTCCTCACGGGGCCACGATCCCGTCATCTGAGTCACGATGCTGGTTTTCTCACGATATCTCTCGACCGACAACGGTGTTTTGCTCGGCTCGGATGGGGTGTGGGAGGAGCGGCGCGGGGCGTCGTGACAGAAGTCCCTGCATGTTGGCCCTTCCAGCCAGGTCAGACTATCATCAGCTTGCCTGCTTTGGTATTGTCTGCCCGCTGGCTTCATTCTACTCAGAAGAACTAGAATCATGGCGGTGAGATTATCAGGCGGCGGCTCGGTCTTCGGGCAAGCAGCCCTGGAGAAGACAGAAGACAATAATTTGCGAACGGAACGAAGCCCGGATGTCGCTTAGAATCTCGCGAGCACCGATCAGTGTTGAGCTGTTGCACAACGGAGGGAATGCCGAAACATCTTGAGTTTTGCGTGATGTTGCAACCCCCATGGGGTTGGTTCCAGGGCGCTTGAGCTTACAGCACCCTCCCTCCACACGCACCCTCAACTCGTTTTGCTCCCTCGAAAAAAAAAAACTTGACCGCCTTCTAGCGTGCTTCTTTCACGGGAGGTAAGTGGACATGGCGTTTTTACCAGACACCACCAGACCATAATAGTGTGCAGCTAGTCTCGACGATCCTTTGTCATCGTCCGTATTTGGATTGCGCCTTGATATAGGGTTGGCTCCTTGTTTGGGCATTCAAATGGTCAAACGTGGTCTGACGCCGATATCGGGATGCTGAGACTGCCGAGCACCAGAGCCAGCTCACGAGCACGCCATTTCTCAAGAACAACTGTAATGCTTGCCAAGGAAGACATGGCCGGATGGAAGGCCTGTAAGGCATCTAGTCGGTGTGTTTACGTTGGTGACAGGACTTTCTGAGTGCAAACACGGCGCTTCATGACTAACATATGGCAACAAGGCACACCTCCGCGTGGAGCGCCACCATCAGAGTGGACTGACCAATTGATCCGTTTCATGTCAGCCAAAATTAGCACGACCCAACATTGGGTTTTAAACATGAAAATAGGTTACTACGCAAAGCGGACGCGCAACGAAGTAGAAAAAACTCTAGCAGTAGAGTTTGGGTGACGTTTGGCGTTTTGTGGTTCTCTTCGCGTTTGTCCACGTATGGAGCCAAGCCGCCGAAGGACGGCCAGACTATGGAGCGATGTTGTGAGATCATCCATATCACAATGTATTATTACAAACTAACTATCCCTATGCATAAAATTTATTTCGCGTCCATCGCTTCTGTACCACTCAGAGGTCCTCGTCAACATTGGGTGGGCACACGGCCACATAAGCGCCAGTAGCGGTATTCAGGGCCGAATCGAGCCAGCTATCGAGATGCCACATCATGGAGTCCTTGCTGACGCACGAGTGGCTGACGCGTAGCCGCAGGTTGTGCCCATTCTCAAAGTCGAATCCGCTAATGGCCATCATTACAGCAGGGGCCACTTGGAAGCCAGCACGACTGAAATCGACGGTGCCCGCGTTCTCGGACCCGGGGACGTCGTCGGTGCAAAAGGTCCCGCCCGTGATGCCTTCCTTGTCGGCGGGGAAGGCCACCCATGTGACCGTCGCACCACGGAGGTCCGTGTCGTCGCCGACCTCGAGGTTGAGCCTGAACTTGAAGGGGCTGGCCTCGGACACATGCGTCTTGAGCCGCCACGCCGAGTCCTTGCCGAGGCTGAGCCCGGAGAACCAGGCCACGACGGTGGGCGCCGCACCGCCCTCGAAGCGCGAGTCGTACTTGACGATGGTCGAGAGCTTGGAGGCGCGCTTGCCGTCCGTCTTGACGTCCCACGTGCCCGTCTTGATGTTGGGCTCCGCAGCGGACGCCTCGAGCCAGGAGCAGGCAGCCGAGAAGACACGCGAGTCGGGCCCAGGCGCGATCGCGGCTGTGAAGTGGTCGTCGGACACGTCTTCGGCTGTGGCGGCGACGGATATGTCGGTCGTGTAATCCAGGTCCAGCCAGCTCAGGCCCATGGCCAGGCGAGGAGGGTCAGCGTACGCGGGCTCAAAAGCCACGTCCTTGCGGTCGGCATCGGTGTTCACGCTGTCCCACGACCTGACCTCTGGTGAGGGGTGTTCTCGTTAGTCACGTGTTCTCGGTGAGGGAAGTGCCTTGGGTGCACAGCGCGGCCAATGTCGGGAATACATACGAAGCGTGCTGAACTGCCCAATATCGCTAGACCAGGGCGGGTAGTTGTTGGCAATCCACTCCTTGTCACGCTCAGAGAGCGTCGTGTTGTTTTTGGTCGCGACAGCTCCAACGTTCTTGAACCAGCGCGCTGGGTACTGGTACAGCATGATAGAGTCGGGGTCGTAAGCGCTGGCATTGACCTCGCTGCTCTCTAGGCGCTTGATCACATTGTAGTTGATCGTCGCCCGTGACCAGCTGTTGGGCGGCCGGCTGAGCTCTTCGTAAATGAGCTCCGTGTTCCACTCGAAGCTGGCAAGGGGCGACTCTGCGTGGTTGGTCAGAAGCTGAGGGATGGGCTTTTGAGGCACATGCCGACTGCAGATTGGGTTCACCTACGATGCTCATGTTCGCAGCCCATGACGTGGCCGAACTCGTGAAGTACTTTCCGGCGGATAAACTCCTCCGGCTGTCTGAGGTTGATGTCAAGATTCATGGTTCTCTTGGACTGGTTTGTCTCAGACAGGGCATCGGTGCCGACACGTGAGCTCGATCCTCCTCCCTGCACAAAGTCGATGCGAACGTCCGCCTTTGGTGCGTCCATGGGGAGCCTGTGCACAGAGCGCTATCAGACGGACTGTCAATGAACGAGAAGCAGTTCTGGACCACACTTACCAGGTGAATTTGATGTTGGCATACGTCGGCCACCAGTCCGCGTACTTCTTCACCTTGTCGTGCAGAGCAGGCTCACCGGAGAGGAACTTGATCTTTAGAGTACGACCTGGCTGCCAGTTCTTCTTGATATTAACAGCGAGATAAGACTCTTCATCATCGCCGCCATCGGGGCCTGTCCACTCAGGAAGCGCCTGGGTCGATCCCAGGGCATTTTGGGGGTTTTCTTCCAAGGCAATACGTAGGGACTCGATTTCCGTCTCGGGAGGGTTCCGGATCTCGAAGCACTGAAAGTGCTCAACAGTGTCGGATACTTCATGAGCCTTTAAAGACATGATGATGATTTATAAGTGACGAAAAAAAATGGTGATCGCTAAGAATTGTGACAGAGGAGGTGAAGAATCGGCAAGACACTTGTTGGAGTGGCTATGGGACCAGAAGTCATGGATATGCTGACGAGGGGCAACTTATAAGCTCGACTCAGATATAGTAATGTCATCGCCAACGGCAAGCTGAGTCCGGTCGTCGTTCGACTTGTCAATGTGTTCGGTCTAGGCCCGACTATCGAATCGTCTCAACCACGTGTGTCACTGGATCTGGAGGTTCAGCTGTGCTGTTGACGCAAATTTCACGACCGGCATTCCGAAAACTGACAGCTTATGGGTCGAGACCATTCCTCCATCTCAAATATCGTTAGCTTGAAGTCAGAAGACCGGCAACTCTTACGGACTGTCGTGCCGACTTGTTGACCAACGGGCGGATAGAACTGGCGACTCAGCCGAGAGAAAACAACGTGGCGGAGAACCCATGTTCGACGCTTCTCCCAATTGAGCACTGAGTTTCCCATGTCGGCTCCAGAAGCGGGAACCGGCTGCTGCCCGTAACGTGCATGAACCCCTGTAAATGTCCGGGGACACGATCAGCTCTCAGCCAGCCAGTTGCCAGCCGTGTCTCAAGAGACCGTGGCCTGGGCGTCCATCAGAATGGTGATGAGGCTTCAGCCTCGCGAGCTAGCCGCGCGGCGAGATCGATAGCTAGGAGCGGGAACGGCCCAGGCCGCATCATGGGCGCCCCCTAAATGATGCACGACGAAGGATCACCGCTCAGCCAGCCAGCCACAAGCCAAATCTGGTGATCATGGACTAAAAGCAGGGTCGCGGCGGGGGTCTGAGCCATGCGACTAGACCCTGTGGGGTAAACGAGGGTGATCCGCGTGGCTGCGGCAGCAGGCGAATAAACACCAAAGCCCCTGAATTCCTCAGAGACTTTAAACCACAGTACGAACTTCGAAAGGTTCCGATTCGCCAGTAGCTTTCGCCCCATACAGATTCGAAAGAAAGTGATACTCTCGGGCCATTCTACGTTCCCCTGTAGGAGATGTCGGTTTTCAGCTTCAGGGAAGACCTTCCGTATTGACCTGTCAGTCTTTACTAACCGAACTCGGCATCTCAATGTCTGCTCAGCCTGACAAAGGCCACGATCGTCTCCGGGGAGCTTGCTCCGGGCTCACAGGAGCGTCCTACGGGGAATGTATCCGTACCTGAGCTCCCATGTCACCAAAATCGATAGTGCAGCAGTACGAGGACCAGTGACGAGCCTGGTCTATTCCACAGTTCCGCTTCATTGTGTGGCGTCGATGCATAGGGAAGCTCGCTCTTGCTTGCCAGATAGAGCAACACTTGTTCAACGAGAGACCAGCCAACAAGGTAGGGCAGTCACTGGTCTGGAAAACTTATTTAAGATAACTCGACCGTCGTCGAAAGTTGGAGTTTTGAGCAGACATCACCTCTTCCTCTCTTCCAAGCTCACATCATCTTATATCTCTTGCCAGCCTCATTTACTTGGTCCAAATCCTCCAGTTTATTCTTAATTCAAAATGCATACTGTCCTCGACATAATCCATGCGGCCGATAAGGTCTCTGACCATATTGGGGATGCTCATGCTCGTTCGGGCAGTGCTCCTGACCTTTCGCCTAAAGAGCATGTTGAAAGCATCATCGCCAAGAACCGGGTAGGGCCTCCTTGAACAGTAATCCTGTTGATTTTGTACTGACACGATCTTTTAGGTTCTCAAACTCATCTCTCGCCAGATCAAAGATGTCGAGTCTGCTCTGAAGTCCTCTGTTGCTATGGATGCCGCCGACGTCGAACCAGAGCTGGTAGCAATGGACGTTGCCGACGATACCAACAAGCCTCCAGGCGATGTGATCCGAGAGGGCATGTCTGGAAAGGATTCCGGACTTGGCAAGCAGAACCCTTCACTCGAGAAGATGGCCGAGAACATCGGACCTATCGTCGACACCTTCAAAGACATTCTGGTACTATACACCCTTGCATCGCGCTCTTTGTTTCAAAATCGACTCGCTAATATGACATCGCTTCCCAAAGACCAAGCCGTACCTGAAGAACTACAACGCAATGCTCAACACAATTCCCATCGTCGGGCTAAAGGGTGACAACATCATGTACACCGAAACCAAGAGCCGCGGCGTTCTCGGCGTAGAGGAGGATTGGTCGGTCTTTGGCCGCATCCCCGATAATGTCAACATCGACAGCAGCAAAGCCGTTCATTTCTTCCCTTACAAGGGAGACTTTTGCATGTCCATCGGTACCGCCATCTGGCGCAGGAAACATCGCGATGACAGGGACCCCGAGGTCAAGAAGGCAGTTGATAACTGGCCGAAACTGTACGTCGAGTCCTGGGAAAAGGTTGGCGACAACTGTCTTCCGGTTGGCAACGCCTGGAGTATCCTCCCGTTTGCACGTCTCTCCGGCAAAGACATTCGATTCCATCTCGTCATCCTGGGACAGGATGGTCGCCTGCTATCTCTGAACGGCGACCTTGCTGGAAGCAACAACTCGTTCACGGAGCTCAAGAACAGCTCCGACGCAAAGAACAAGGCAGCGGCTGCTCTCAGTATCAAGCAGGCGGCCTACTTCAATGGAAACATTGTGGCCTATGACAGTGGCAGTAACACTTGGAATCTTGACGTGGATTTCGATGCTTCAACCTTCACTGCCGCGGACCAAATGGCCGTAGACCCACTCTTTGAGCTGACCGCCACTGACATTGGTCCCGTCGCTGTTCAGAGCGACGGCTGGATCTATCGTCGCCGCCTCGAGACGGTCAATGATCCATCAGACAAGACCGCCAAGAACGACAAGAAGGCTGGTTGGCAGCGGTGGATCCAACAAAAGGGCGTCACGCACCTCGGTGTGGCTTCCCCTGGTGTGATGTTGGACCTGGAGACACTGACGGGGTCTTTGCGAGACCGTTACATGGACACTCAGAAGTGCATTTACCCTGTTGTCAGCAAGCTGCAGACATTTGCTACCAACCAAGAGCTTTTCCTCAAGAAGCAACTTGAAACGGCTGAAGAGTATCAGAAGAACGAGGACAGCGCGGCGAAGCAAAAGATTGCCATCAAGGAAGCAAAAAAGCTTGTCCTGCAGACGAAGATCTGGGCCACAATCATGCGCAAGCAGTCTAGCTCTGTCAAAGACACCGTCAACGGCATGGGTACCGATCTGTCTTCGGTTCGTACTCAGCTCGACCAACAGCTCATTGTTCTTCGCGATAAGCTTGTCTCGCTTCAAGCTCAGATCAAGGCCACAAAGGAAGCCAAGGCAAAGATGGATGCTGCCTTCTGGGGTTCCATTGGTGTTATGCTTCTCGGCATCGGTCTTGCAGTTCTCGGCGCTGTGACTGGTGTTGGTGTCATCGCCTTGGGCATTGTCGGCGGCGCGTTGTTTGTCGGCGGACTTGTTGCGGCTTGCCACTTTGGCAGCGAGTCGGCAAAGCTTGCTGGGCAGATCGAGGACTTGGAAGCAGAGGCGAGAGGTGTACAGCAAGCCATCACTGACATCAAGTCAGTGGCGGACAGGTTTGGTGACCTCGAGAAGATGTATGAGAATCTTAACATGTTTTGGGGGCGTATGTTCAATGCCGCCTCGAGTCTTGGCGGCATGAACGAGGCCACAGCGCTCCAGATTGGCGCGGGCGTTCTTGAGGACACAACATCCATCGAGGCTTCGATCAGTGTTGTGACCAAGATGAAGAACGGCTGCGCGACCTACCTTGCTGTCTTGAACAGAACCGGCATCAAGATTCCCCGAGATGATTCTGACGACGACTCGGACAATGACGACGATGAAGCCGCCGACGTTGAGCTGCAGTCACTCGAGACTTCGCCCGTCGACCCCGGATTCAAGAACCTTGTCCTCTTCAACAAGCAGGTCGATATCGCCACGCAAGCTTTGGAGAACGATCAGTTCACCGAGTATGTGAAGCATCTCGAAGTTGCAGACCTCATTGATGTCTACACTGGGCAGATGGGAATTGCGCCCGAAGCCGTTGCCCAAGTCTTGGACGAAGCTCGCCAGCGGGAGGGCGCCGAGGCGGCGGACATATTCGGTGATCTTGCCAACTTCGCCCGCTTCACACCTCTCGGCATGGCCGTCGGAATGGTCGAAGAGGCTGTGTCACGCGATGTTGACCTTGAGTCAGCGCCTCAAGATGAACAGAGGGAATCAGGTGACATCTTTGGAATTTTGGCCGATTTTGCGAGGGTCAGTCCCGTCGGTATGATTGTAAACACGATCGGGACAGCGGCCGAGGCCGTTGCGCGTGATGTTGACCTCAACGAACAGCCGGCAACCACGCAGTCAAACGGCACAGAGTCTGCCGACATTTTTGGCGACTTGGCCAACTTTGCTCGCTTCACCCCCATGGGTATGACCGTCAACCTTGTCTCGGACGCCTTTTCGCGCGACGTCGGAA